ACATGGGGCTGAAAGACAGCAGGGGGTCATGTGACCACACCAGCAGGAGGTCATGTGACCACATGGGGCTGAAAGACGGCAGGGGTCATGTGACCACACTAGCAGGGGGTCATGTAACCACATGAGGCTGAAAGACAGCAGTCGTCATGTGACCACACCAGCAGGGGGTCATGTGACCACATGGGGCTGAAAGACAGCAGGGTTCATCTGACCGCACCAGCAGGGGGTCATGTGACCACATGGGGCTGAAAGACGTGGCCTCTCGCCCTGGGAGGGGGCGTGGCCGGACCCCGGCCGCGTCCTGTGGAGGGAGGCGGGGGCAGCCCCACCTTCTCGTAGGCGTACTGCTCCTGCAGCATGGTGGGCAGCCGCTCCAGGAAGGCCCGCATGCAGGGCGCCATGTTGAGGCCGACCACGCCCTGCTTCTTCAGCGCCGTGCGGCAGGTGGCGAGCACGTGGTGTGAGGACAGGAACTCCCTGGAGGCGTTCACCACCAGCACGTCCTGGAGAGGAGAGGAGGGTGAGGGGGGCGGGTCCTGGAGCCAGGGGCGGGGCCAGCACCGGGGTGGGGGAAGCCTCACCTTTGACCTGTTGGAGCAGACGGCCACGCCCACGTCTGGGATCCACACGATGTTCTGGATGGCGCCCGAACCGGCGACCACCGTCTGCAGCACCGACCCGTCCTGTGGGGACAGACGGCCAATCAGGAGGGGCTGCCCTCGGCCGTTTGCGGCATCCTCGCTAGCGGGGGGCGCCGCTCGCCGCTTACCCGCAGGGACCAGATGTTCATGAGGCCGCCCACGCCGCCGGACGCCAGCGCCAGCCCGTCGGGGCTGAAGGCCAGCGTCCGCACCGGGGTGATGTGGCCCTTCAGCTGGAAGACGCACACGGCGCCGGCGCCGGCGCTCGACCACGGCGAGCCCTGCAGATAGCCGGGAGTGAGAGGGGGCCGGCGCCGGCGGGGCGGACGCCGCTCGCCGCCAGGCGCCGGGCTCACCGCAGCCGGGGGCCGGGCCTCGCTGTCCCACCAGCCCTCCGGGTCCGAGGCCGAGGAGGCCGGGAAGTCGGCCGGCCGCTGGGGGACGGTCCAGACGGACACCAGGCCGTTCTGACAGCATCTGGAGACAGAAGCAGGAAGTGAGCGGCGCCGAGCAGGAAGCTGCTGCTTTTAATGAGTCTTTCATTACTTTTTCTGTCTGATTCAGGAAGCGGCTGCTTTAAAATGGTGTTTTAATTAGTTTTTAAATGAGTTTCTCTATCTGTTTCAGGAAGCTGCTGCTTTTTTAAATGAGTTTCAGGCTGGTTGCTATTTTGTTTTTGTCTTTTGTAATTCCAAGTTTTTCTACCCATCTGAAGATAACATCTGTTTCCTTATTGTAGGAAAATCCGACCAGGAAAAGTGTGCGTGTCAGAGCCTGGAGCAATCAGATCATCTGGACCATCAGTATGTAAAGAGAACAGGAACTGAACTCACATGGCGAGCATGCTGAGCGGGTTGGGGCCGCGTCCCGCCGCGCTGCACCAGGCCACGCCATTCACCATGGATGGATGCCGCAGGCTCTGCAGGCAGCGCCAGCCGGCACCGGACGCTGAGCCCCGATTGGCCCACAGCTTTACTGTTTCCTCTTTGGCGCAGGTCAGCAGCATCTGGCCGCCGGGGCTCCACTTCATGCTGCTGATGGCCTCCTGGAAGGCAGCGGGATGAGCTGTAGGCCCTCACTAGCATGCGGCTAAACGCTAGCAGGCGGCTAAATGCTAGCAGGTAGCTAAGTGCTAGAGCCCAGCTAAACGCTAGCAGGCGGCTAAACGCTAGCATCCAGCTAAACGCTGACAGCTGGTTTATGGCTAGCTGCCAGCTAACTGCTAGCTGCCAGCCAAGCACCATGAGGAGCCAGCTAAACACTAGTGGCCGACTAAGTGCTGACGGCCGGCTAAACGCTAGCAGGCGACTAAACGCTAGCAGCCGACTAAGCGCTAGCACAGGGGTGGGCAACTCCACCCCTTATCATGCAGGTTTTAGAAGTTTCCCTGCTTCTACACACCTGATTCAGATCAAAGGGACACCTCTAAAACTTGCAGAACAGCGGCCCTCGAGGCCTGGAATTGCCCACCCCTGTGCTAACGGCCGGCTGAACGCTAGTGGCTGGCTAAACGCTATCAGGCGACTAAGCGCTAGCAGGCGGCGCTCATTACCTTGTGAGCGTCTATGACCACGACGGCTCCTTTGTCGAGGGGCTCTTTGGAGCCGATCAGCAGCTTCCCGTCTGCGTATCCCACAGCGAAGGGCTTGTCCTCGCTGAACCAGGCGATGCTCATCACAGCCACTGGAGAGCACACAGAGAACGTTGAAGGGAAAACACCCATCTTCACACATGGAGGTGTTTAGATGTGCTCATGTTCTGCCGCTGGCAGCCGGCAGCTCCTACCAGCAGCCAGCAGCCAGCAGCCAGCTGCCTGCAGCCGGCAGCCACCAGGTGGCAGCCAGCAGCTCCTACCAGCAGCCAGCACTTGGCAGCCAGTAGCTCCTACCAGCACCCAGCAGCCGGCAGGTGGCAGCCAGCAGCCGGCAACCGGCAGGTGGCAGCCAGCAGCTCCTGCTGGACTTCAAGCAACTGGCAGCGAGCAGGTAGCAGCTCCTACCAGCCGGCAGGTGGCAGGCAGCAGGTCCTTCCGGCAAGCGGCAGCTTCTCAAAGCCGGCAGGTGGCAGCCAGCAGCCGGGAGCTTATACCAGCCGGCAGGTGGCAGTTCCTACTGGCAGCCAACTGTTCCTACCGGCAGCCAACAGTTCCTACTGGCAGCTCTTACCGTCCTTGCGGCAGCAGTGCTCCAGCTCCGAGCGGTGCATGTTGGAGGAGTCCAGCACCTCCAGGAGGCCCAGCGAGCCGTCCATCCGGCCCACCAGCAGCATGTCTTTGGGCTCCCCGCACCACAGGGACTCGGCCTCCTCCTCAGGCCAGGCCAGCGCCGACACCCAGTGGGGCTGCACGTCCAGCAGGCCTCTGCCCCCTGCAGACGGGGGGGCAGTTAGCGCTTTAACATGGTGGTTTTCCACCATACAAACAGCTCGCTTTTCTTTTTTGGGAGATTTCACACATTAACCCGGCAAAAATAAAAAATTTAAAAACGAATAAATCAAAAAGCATCAAAATTAAGCATGAAAACTGAGGATTTTTTAATAGCTTTAAAACCAGAAACTTATTTTAAAGAAAAAAAATTTCAAAGACTTTTGTCCAGATTTAAAACCAGATAAGGCAGAAACAGCCGTTCACAGTCAATTGCAGCCGTGCCTCACAGCCCACTTTTCCACCGGTCAGAGACATTTTATTAGAAAACGCATCAAATTCAGGCTTCACAAGCACCAACTCAGGTTTGTAGAACACTTTTTAAAGATCGGTCGCTATGGAGACATTTCAGCCACCTTTTATCCATCTTTTTAATCCAAAGCGAACTGACTAAAAGAGTCCATCAGGCCTATTTCCTACAACAGACCTGGTAAAACCAGCTGTTTTCTCTCTGACTGGGATGAAAACCTTCTCCCTGCCGGCCGATTGGCTAAAAGGTTCCGGTTTGTTCTAAATCAGTCTGCTGCTTTCTGCTAATTCTGGGAAGATAATTCTGTCTGGGGTGGGATTTCCTCTCCTCCGTGCTCTGATATGCCTCTGGACTCTGGGCATTTCTCTGGTTTCTCTCCTGTTCTACTTGCTGCACTAAGCGCGGTGTTGCAGTGAAAGCCGTCCCTGTGAAACAGCGGGCGGAACCCAGTGAAGGAAATCTGAATTGGCTTGAAATAAAAGCACTAAATGCTGGAGTCTGAATGGCTCAGCCGTTGGATCGGCCGATTCGGAAGAAGAGCCGGAGCTTGTGGGTGGGGGGGTATTACCGTTGACCTGCCAGATGTTGAGCATCTTGTCCATGGCGGAGGCCAGGTACTTCCCTGTGACGCTCCAGGCCAGAGGGGACAGGCTGGGGTCGCCGGGGGAGCCCAGGCCCGACAGGCCCTCCTCCAACGAGCCGTCACTGGACAGAGAGAGGAGGCGGAGCCTCAGGATCAGGCAGAACCAGAACCACAAAGAACCAGGACAGGACCCAAGAGGAGCAGGTGGAGGCAGAGGAGGAGGACGAGGAGGCAGAGGAGGAGGAGCAGGAGGAAGAAGAGGTGAAAGAGGGGCTGAGGAAGAGGAGGAGATGCAGGAAGAGGAGGAGATGGAGGAGGAGGGGAAGAAGGAGGAGGGAGAGGAGCTGAGCAGCAGGAGGATGAGGAGGTGAAGGAGGAGCTCTGGAGGAGGAGGAGATGGAGGAGGAGGTGAAGGAAGAAGAGGAGGAGGAGTTGAGCAGCAGGAGGATGAGGAGGTGAGATGAGGGAGGAGCTGAGGAAGAGAAGGAGATGGAGGAGGAAGAGGAGCAGCTGGAGTAAGAAGAAGAGGAGGAGCAGCAGGAGGAAGAGGAGGAGGAGGAGGAGCAGTGTTGGGGTCTCACTCCTTGTTGAAGACGCAGGTCTGCTGCAGCGTGTACTGGGTCCGGGACACGTTCCAGACTCGGACCGTCCCGTCATTCCCACTGGTGGCCAAGAGGCCCTGAGGGACGCTCCACACACAGGTGATGACCTGGGGACACACACAGACACACAACGTTACACACAGTTACACACACAGACACACAACGTTACACACAGGTAATGACTCAAGGACACACACACAATGTTACACACCGACACACAGGTGATGACCTGAGGGGACACACAGACACACAACGTTACACGCAGTTACACACAACATTACACAGACACACAACGTTACACACAGACAAACAACGTTACACATAGTTACACACAGGTGATGGCCTGAGGACACACAAAGTTACACACATAGAGTTACATACAGACTACCAACGTTACACAAAGACAAACGACTTTACACATAGTTACACACAGACACACAGGTGATGACCTGAGGACACACACAGACACACAACGTAACACACAGACACACACAGGTGATGACCCTTGGACACACACAGACACACAACATTACACACAGACACACACAGGTGATAACCTAAGGACACACAAAGTTACACACATAAAGTTACACACAGACACACAATGTTACACACAGACACACACAGGTGATGACCTGAGGACACAAACAGACACACAACGTTACAGACAGACACACACAAGTGATGACCTGAGGACACACAGACAAACAACGTTACACACAGACACACATGTCATGACCTGAAGACACACACAGACACACAATGTTACACAGTGAGACACCGACACACACAGGTGATGAACAGAGGGGACACACAATGTTACACACTGACACACAACGTTACACACAGTTACACACACAGGTGATGACCTGAGGACACACAATGTTACACACTGACACACACAGGTGATGACCCGAGAACACACACACACAAAGTTACACAGACACACAACCATACACAGTTACACACGGACACACATGTGATGACCTGAAGACACACACAGACACACAACATTACACAGTTACACACAGACACACACAGGTGATGACCTGAGGGGGACACACAACGTTACACACTGACACACAACATTACACACAGTTACACACACAGGTGATGACCTGAGGACACACACAAACACAACGTTACACACAGACACACAACGTTACACACATACACACAGGTGATGACCTGAGGGGACACACAGCCACACGTTACACACAGTTACACCCAGGCGTCCCCCCCACCCCCCTGCTCCCCCCCCCCCTTACCCGGCTCTGGTGGGCCTCCAGCTTGCTGAGCGAGGCCCGCCGCAGGTCCCCCGCCATGTCGGCGTAGGTGTGCGGGCGGCCCTGGTGGTCGCGGTCGTGCGCGGCCAGCGTGCGCACCAGCTGCTGCGCCGCCCACTGGCGGTGCTGCGAGGACAGCCGCGCCGACAGGCAGCAGGCGGCCAGCGCGTTGGCCAGCTCCAGGGGGCCTACAGCGGGGGGGTCAATGGTGGGGTGGGCATACAGAGGCGCAGTTAGACCTGCTCCACACACAAGGGGAGGGGGGGGGGGGGGGGGGGGGGGGGCCGGGGGTGGAGACAGACATGTGACCCGGAGGCCGCCCCACAGGGGGGGTCCGTCACATCAGTGGTCCCCAACCACACACCCTGTAGAGCAGTGGTTCCTAGCCTGAGGCACCGAACCCCCAACTATTAAATATAATGTATATATTATATATATTTTATTTTAGATAAACATAAATATTAAAGTTTCTTTTTCTCCCAAATTCAAGACAAAGGGACAGGAGAAGTTCTGCTTCCGATGCCTAAACGTACGAATTTTCCAACATCCGAAGTGAAATTTGATCAAATATTCAACTTGACACCCGAAGTAATGAAATGATGACGAATGATGTCGAAGTCACAGAAAAAGTTAGTTTGAAGTTCAGGTAGTAAAGTCAGAGTAAGTTAGGGTACGTCCTGTATCTCAGTCTCCACCTCTACCTCCATTCAGTCTCTGAGGTAGAGGGCCAATAAAAGGCCTTTTTATTGAACATTTCTTTATCATTTATCTATTTTTACATCTCTCTTATATATTTGTTTTATTGCTATCTGCAATTATCTGTAGTATTTATTAAAGAGTTATTGTAGGTTTTTTGGAACCAATTATAGGAATTACAGTGTATTCTGATGGGAAGATATGAACCAACGTACCAATATTCTAACATATGAAGTCGGTCCTGGAACCAGTTCAATCCGAATGAAGGGGTTCTGCTGTATTTATTCTCTGAGTCTGAATAATCTTTTTTTATATGACTTCAACATCATAGTGTCGTATGTTGGAAATAGAGCTGCTATGACAAATTTTATAACGACTATTCGACACATTTTTTTATTAGTTTTATGAATCTTAATGACTAATTAAAAAAAAAAAATCAACAGAGTTCTTTTTATTTTGAACTTAATTTTGCGCTTTTTGTTTTGCAACTCAAGGGCCAAAACATAAAATGTCGCCTGTGTGTCAAAAGTAAACGTAACATACTTAAACTAAATATTGAACAAAGAAAATAAAATGTAATAAAGAAAATAAAGTGCAATAAAATGTGAGAATGTCTTCTATTTTACAACAATAATATAAAGTACTATAAAACTGGTATATTCTGGACTAATCCTATTAATACGATAACCCCCGCGGGCCGGTACCGGTTGGCCCGGGGCTGGTGGCGGGCCGCGGGCCGGGGGTTGGGCACCACTGCTGTACAGGGCCGGCTGTGGGGGCCGGGGGGGGCCCACAAACCTCGTCTCTCCAGGTCGGCCTTGTCCACGGCGGGCCGCAGCCGGGCGCCCTTGTCGGCCAGCAGGGCCACCAGAGCCTGCGTCACCACGAAGTTCGGGGAGGTGACCAGCTTGTTCTCCTCGGCCACGCCGCGCAGGAAGCTGGGCAGGAACCGCCTCTGGACAGGGTCGTCCACGGTGGTCAGGTTCAGGCCTGTGGCCGCGGAGATCAGGTTCTGGACAGGAGGGGGAGCGGTCAGAGCCTCCAGCAGCCAGCTGACCTGGAGGGGCGGCTCCTCCTGTGGGCCTGGCTCACATCTTTATGGGGGGGGGAGGTCCAGATGGGCCAGTCTATGTCCTGGTGGCTGGTCAGTCTGTGTTCTGGTCCAGTCTATTTTCTGGCTGATGGTCCGGTCTATTTTCTGGCTGATGGTCCGGTCTATTTCCTGGCTGATGGTCCGGTCTGTTTTCTGGCTGATGGTCCAGTCTGTTTTCTGGTCCAGCCTATTTCCTGGCTGATGGCCCAGTCTGTTTTATGGTCCAGTCTGTTTTCTGGCTGAAGGTCTAGTCTATTTCCCGGATACTGGTCCAGTTTATTTCCTGGCTGCTGGTCCAGTCTATTTCCTAGCTGCTGGTCTAGTCTATTTCCTAGCTTCTGGTCCAGTCTATTTCCTAGCTGCTGGTCTAGTCTATTTCCTAGCTGCTGGTCCAGTCTATTTGCTGGTCCAGTCCGGTCCGGTGGCGGTTCAGACCCGGGGCCTCACCTGTGTGCAGAGCTGCACCAGCAGCTTGGCGGCGTTGGGGCTGTTGGAGGCCAGGCAGCCCACGGCGGTGCTCAGGTAGGCCAGGCAGGAGATGGGTTTGCTGGCCTTGGCGGCCCCGCGGGGCCTCTCAGCGGAGCCGGACCCGGTCAGCGGGCTGGTGGAGAGCCCGGCCCGGCCCGCCGCCGCCAGGCACATGAGCCGGACCAGAGTCCTGATGTCGGTCAGACCCAGAGACTCCAGTCCGGCGGCGAGGCTGCAGCTGGAGCCGCTGCGAGGAGAAAGAAGGAGGAGCTCAGACGGCGTCCAGCAGGTTCTGACCCGTGTTTCCCCTCATGTTTACACCGGGTCTGATCGGTGTTTCCCTCATGTCTGACCCGTGTTTACACTCATGTTTAAACTGGTTCTGACCCAGTTCTGACCCGTGTTTCCCTCATGTCTGACCCCGGTTTGACCCGTGTTTCCCCTCATGTTTAAACCGGTTCTGACCTGTGTTTCCCCCAATGTTTACACCGGTACTGACTGGTGTTTCCCTCATATTAAAACCTGTTCTGACCCGTGTTTCCCTCATATTTAAACCAGTTCTGACCCGTGTTTCCCTCATGTCTGACCCAGTTCTGACCCGTGTCTCCCTCATGTTTAAACCGGTTATGACCCAGTTTTGACTCGTGTTTCCCCACATGGCTGACCCGGTTCTGACCGGCATCTTACCTGACGGACAGCAGCGACAGCGCCCTCATCACCATGGTTCTGGCCAGCAGCACCTGGGCCGCCGCCGTCACCCTGCGGAGCGCCATGAGGCGGTCGTGGGGGTTCTGCAGGGCGGCGGCCTGCTCGCCCAGGGCGGCGCGGCCCGGCGAGCCCTTCTCCACCGAGGTCTGGCAGCCTGAGGACGACAGGCCGGTCAGCGGGGCAGGCCCCACCCATCCACCATCCCAAGTCCTCCTCTTTCCTTATACATTCCAGGTCCTTCTCTCCTTTCCTTTTTCATCCTCTTTCTCTCCTTTCCTTATATACATCGTCTTTCCTTATCTCCTTTCTTACTTCACATCCTATTTCCTTCTCTCCTTTCCTTATATCCATCCTCTTCTCTTCCGTCCTATCCTACTTTCCATCCTCTTCCCTTCTCTCCTTTCGTACTTTCCATCCTTTTTCCTTCTCTCCTTTCCTACTTTCCATCCTCTACCCTTCTCTCCTTTCCTCATATCCATCCGCTTCCCTTCTCTCCTTTCCTACTTTCCTTCTTTCCTTTACTACTTCCCATCGTCTTTCCTTCCCTACTTTCCATCTTATTTCATTCTCCCCGTTCCTTATATCCATCCTCTGTCCTTCTCTCCTTTCCTACTTTCCATCCTCTTTCCTTCCCTCCTTTCCTTATATCCATCCTATTTCTTTCCCTCTTTTCCTTATTTCACAGTCTGTCCTCCTCTCCTTTCCTTATATCAATCCTTTTCCCTTCCCCGTTACCTATCTGCAGCAGCGTCTCCTCCATGCTGTTGGTGGCGGTCACCATGGCGACGGAGGCGCCCAGCGGGTCGCTGTCGGGGAACTGGACCGGTTCTGGGACGGTCCGCCTCTCGCTCAGGCCCAGCGGGCCGGCCAGCAGCTCGAACTCCTCCTCCCCCGTCAGCCGGTCGTCCTCCTCCACGTCCAGCATGTCCCAGTCCTCTGCAGGGCAGCGGAGGGGGGGGTCAGCGGGCCGGGCCGGGCTGAACGGGGTCTGACCGGGCCGGTATGGGCTGAACCGGGTCTTACCTTCATAGACGCTGTCCTGCTTCCCCAGCAGGTCGGGGGCCTGGCCCTTATACCTGCAGGGCAGCACAGAGTCAGTCATCCTGGTTCCTTATCTCCACTCTGTGTGTCTCTGTTTGTGTCTCTTTCTGTGTCTGTGTGTGTGTGTGTCTGTGTTTCTCTTTGTGTGTCTCTGTGTGTGTGTTTCTCTCTCTGTGTTTCTATGTGTCTCTCTCTGTGTCTCTGTCTCTGTGTGTGTGTATTTGTGTCTCTGTGCATCTCTCTGTGTGTGTCTGTGTGTATCTCTCTGTGTGTATCTGTCTCTTTGTGTGTCTGTGTCCCTGTGTGTCTCTATGTGTGTCTCTGTGTCTCTGTATGTGTGTGTCTGTGTGTCTCTCTCTGTGTCTCTGTCTCCGTGTGTGTGTGTCTGTGTCTCTCGCTTTGTGTGTCTGTGTGTGTCTCTATGTCTCTTTGTGTGTGTTTGTGTCTTCGTGTATGTCTCTGTCTCTCTGTGTGTCTCTCTGTGTCTGTGTGTGTCTGTGTGTAGCCTGGCCTACCTCTCCACCAGCGGCACCTTGGCCTTGCTCTTCATGTCCAGGTACTTGTCCCTGCAGCCGCCACACAACAGGAAGTAGGGGTTGCCGCTGCCGCACTCGCCGCCGAACCAGCCGTCCACGTAGGAGCCGTTGCTGCGGTAACCCTGCCGGTTGGCGCTGCGCCCGCAGCCCGGGTGGCTCTTCTTCATGTGCTGGTTGAAGTTCGCAACGTTGGCCTCACACAGCTCGCACACCACCACCTCGTCCCGGTCGTCAGCCTCACACACGTGCTGCAGGGCGCACAACAAACACACACAGAGAGACAGAGACACACACAGAGAGACACACAGAGACACGCAGACACACACAAAGACACACAGAGAGACACACAAAGACACAGAGATACACACAGAAACACACAGAAAGACGCACACATAGAGACAGAGACGTTAGAGCCGCCGTCGGTCGGCGGAATGAGAGGATGAAGTCTGAAACAAGCAGCAGCCAATCAGCTGTGAGGAGGGGGGTGTGGTTGGGGGTGTAAAGGGGAGGGGTCCTTAGCTCCATCCTCTTTCCTTCTCTTCTTTCCTTCTTCCCATCCTTTTTCCTCCTCTCCTTTCCTTCTTTCTATACTATTTCCTTATTTCCATCCTCTTTCCTTCTTCCTAACCTTTGTTCCTCCTCTACTTTCCTTTCCTTCTTCCTATGCTATATCCTTCTCTCCTTTCCATCTTCCTATCCTCGTTCCTCCTCTCCTTTCCTTCGCTGAGTTCCAGCTATATGAACACCTCGGGGGGCGTGGCCCCGGGGGGCGGGTCTAATAAGCGAGCGGGATGGGGATGGCAGCTGGTGGCTGGAGCGTAAAGGCACACACACCCATGTTGGCCAGTCCAGTACCTCCGGGATCCACATTCCCAGAATGTCGGAGTCGCTGGCCAGGTCCTGGCCGAACATGGCCTCCATGGTCTCCTCGTCCAGGTCCATCTCCAGCTCCTCGTCCAGGTTGAAGTCGTACAGGGCGCCGGCGTCCTGCTGCTGGAGGGACGCCGCCTCCCGCCGCGACTGGCTGTGGTGGGCCTGCACCGAGCGGTACAGGCCGGCTGGGGGGACAGGGAGGAGCCGGTCAGGGGGCGGAGCTAGGTCAGGGGCTGGGACCAGGGGCCGGGACCAGGGGCGGGGCGGGGCCAGGTCCAGAGGGTGGGGCTCACCAGTCCCTGTCCCCCCTACCGGTCTGCATAGAGCGGTACAGGCCGGCGGGGGGGACAGGGAGGAGCCAGTCAGGGGGCGGGGCCAGACCCAGGGGGGTGGGGCCAGAGCCAGGGGGCGGGGCCAGGCTCCGTGGGGCGGGGCTCACCAGCGCGGGCCAGCAGCGTGCGGGCAGCCAGGTCAAAGCGGTGCTTCCTGCTGGCGGAGCGCGTCCTGAGGGGGGCGCCGCTGGAGGCCGAGGCGGCGTCCTGCTCCAGGCCCTCCGGACTGGACACAGCACAGGCAGCATCACCATCCCTCTGCCCTCACATCCATTTCCTCCCCTTCTTCCTATCCTGTTTCCTCCTCTCCTTTCCTTCTCCCCATCCCATTTCCTTCTTTCCTTTCCTTATTCCCATCCTATTTCCTTCTCTCCTTTCCTTATTCCCATCCTATTTCCTTCTCTCCTTTCCTTAT